AGACTAGAAATGTAGACTATTCTACAGTGAGATGGCATAAGATCACAAGATGTAAGAGCAGAAGTAGGTTATTCAGCCCAGAAGGCCGCTCTGCCATTCAAAGATTCCGATAATCCTCAACTCCACTTTCATGCCTTTTCCCTGTGACTCTTGAATCTTTTATTGTTTAAACATCTGTCTATCACAGCCTTGAAAATTCTCTAAAGTCCTCTGCATTAAAGATATCCACAGATTCACAACCCTCTGAGAAGTTCCTCCTCATTTGTGTCTTAAACGGGTGAACCGTTATTCTGAAATTATGCCCTTGGTCCCAAGACAAGTGGAAACAACCTTTCAACATCTATCTTGTCTAATTCCTGAAGAATCTTGGATATTTCAAAAAGGTCATCTGTCATTCTTCTAAACTCCAATGAGTACAGGTTCAACCTATTCAACCTCTCCTCATAAGGTCGTTCCTCCAAATCTGGAATCGACCTGAAGCTTCGCCAGACTGCTTTCAATGACAGTATATGTTTGGTTGGATAAGGGAACCAAAACCAGAGTATTCTGAGCTTTTAAACTGGAGGTACTGTACCTTGCTTGAGAGCACAATCCTGTTCTTGCCCAATCCTGATTTTCTTCCTAATCTCAATTGTGCAGCTCTGCTTTCCTCTTTCTCTCCTAATTCCTTCTCTACTGCACACAGCCACTTTCAGACTCCCCGAGTGTGTACTGAAAGGACTGCATGCAGAACAGTGGCTATGCATTTAAATTCTCCACATTCTGAGGAATTAGAGTGACTGACAGGGAATCGTGGCTCCCATACCCATTGCAGCTTTTGGGCAGGTAAAGTTTGTTGCCCTTCCTGTGAAGGTGCAGCAACCCCGCCAAAACCAGGATCTCAGCTCACTTCTAGAAACACACGATAGCATTCCACAAAGTGGCCTGTTTCTAGAGGTCACCTAATGCACCCATCAGCTCAATGTGCATGCCAATCATTTCTGACTTGTATGTCACCTCATTAAGGTCCTTCCAAGTCCTCAGTAAAAACACTTGTCTGTAACCTTAGCCTCCAGAGAGCAGACACACAGACCATCCTTTGCCCCGAGCACGGCAGCACCTTACTGGAAACTCATTATATGCAGCTCCCAGCTCTAGTCTTTATGGTAAATACAGTATTAGTATCTGAGTTGGTGGCTGCAAGTGTTCTATTAAATGATCATTCACCAATGCTATGCTGTTGTGCTTGTTCCTTTTCTTAGGCAGGCTGTAGTTCTTGGGTGTCTGTAAACAAAAAATCAGAAGGGAAGGTTGGTCTGAGGAAAACGTATGGGTTGTAAAGCAAGAAGTCCATGGTCACATTTTCAGCAGCTTGCTTATCATGCCAGATTGCAGGACGAAAGCGAACTGGGATTGAGAAGACACCGAAGCCAGGAAAGTATCATCATAATCAATGTTATCTGCAATCCTCAATGCCATGGACTCTGTTGCAGACAATCTCATGATGCAAAAGTGCCATCATCTTCACAGGGGTCAGGAGATGCAGAGATGCTTGTCCCTTACTGGTTTTGTTTCTGTCCTCTGTTGTCCTACAAGAAAGTAGGAACAATGTTGGTGATGTGTGTAGCTGGAGGTACATGGAAGCAGTGTGAAGCTGGCAGCATTGGTAGATCTATGTTGGAGTATCTTGGCGTTAGGACTGAGATCTGAGTGCCGGAGTGCTGCTGGGTGAGTGAGAGGGATGTGATGCATTGAGCAACACAAGAGGTCTGTGGTGTGGTGGGCTGCTGACATACAAAAACCACTCAATGACCTTGACCATCACTTTTGTTCGTTAGGTTCCTTATGCCACTGTTGTCAGGTCCTTGGGTCCAAGTGGCAGGAGTGGACTTCTAAGCCCCCTGCTTGTATTTTCTTCTGAAACATCCTAATGAGCCTTTTGGCCCCCATGCTCATCACTAATATCTTCAGTGCTGCAACTGTGATCCTGCAGTCCTCCCTTTCCCTGAAGCTCCGTTTCCCTTGTTTAGGATTGCAGCAACAGCAGTTAGCTGTGACTTCCTGTAATAAGGTGCACCTTTTCTTTAAGTGGGGCAAACTCTCTTTTAGAATAGAAGGCTGGCTGCAGCAGGCACCATCAGCATAATACTGCGCAGCTTCTTGCTCGGGCAGAGACAGCCAGCAGCTCACAAGGGCAACCAGGAATACAGAAGCCTCTGAGCTCAACGCTACAAACGAGCAAATGACTTAGTAGCAGAACATCTACATGCTAACTGTACTAGAGCAAACACAATGAGCTTGAAAGTTAGAGCTAATCAATTTGCCTTGCATGGAGAATAGATTTTTTTTTAAAAAGGGGGATAAACATCTTGCAAGGCTCAATGCCTGAAAATTCCCATGACGTGCCCTCGGGTGCAAAGTTTCACGGCAGGAATGCAAATTTCTCACATCTATGCTGTATAATACCAAAGTGCAAACAGGGACATGCAGAGACATTTCTCCTTTCACAGTAAATATTAACTGTAGGTAATTCAGAACATGAGCTGGGATCTAGCAATTGATATACAATGATGCTTAAAGTATTTAAATTTTTCACTAAAATGTATACATGGAGCATATCTTGCGTTCGATGACATTATGAAAATAAGAACTTCAAACACAAATTTTTCCACTTAATTATATTATAACTAATGAAGTATTTTTCTAGTGCTTTGTTATTCATTGCTAATGAGTCATTAATTCCCCTGCTCCTCTCCAAAATATCAGTATGTAAAAGTGATGACTGGTGCAAGGTCATTTTGCTCCACCATGCAGCACTGTGTCTAATGGGACCTTGAAACAAGCACAGATCTGTGATTTGTTACTTTTTTAAATCCTCTTTTTGCTTTAGGTCCCTGTCCACTACTTCCAACAAAAGAATTTTCTACAAATAGTGCCTCAGATGGCCAGAAGGAAAAAGCCTCGGGTGACTTACTGTCCACTTTTTGTGCCTTCCCTGAGACAAATTAGCTCTTTTTCCTGGCTATTTGGAATCTCAATTACTTGAAACAGGATGGAGACAGACACGGCAGATTCAATAGTAACTTTCAAAAGTGAATTGCTTACACACTTGAATAGGAATTATTTGTGTATTTTTAAGATAAATGAGAAAAAGGAAGCAGTGGAACTAATCGAAAAGCTTTACGAAGGGTCGAAGAATCAAATTTTATAAACTTCTTTCCATCAGAATCTGGACACGAGTGTGTGATGGTGAGGTAAATTCACTGGTTGTGAAATGAACATACTTTGCTAAAACGAATGAAAGTCCTCTTTTCAGCTGAAGCTAATTTTTTTTACGTACTGATTAGAAGCAATGCTCGAGTCAGAGGATTTGCATTGCACAATAGATAAAGCTGAGCAGGAAAAGGGACAAATCAGCCACACAAATCCTGGATTTTGTTTCTTGAGTTATTTAAACCAAAGGGGCTCATTATTAACACTGGACAGCCTTAACGCACAAAAGCAAAAAAAACTTCCATATCTCGAATGTAATGATGAATGCACCAGATTTCTGTGTCCCTTCATCTAGTGGATCACCCAGGACAACAAATACAAGAAAACTGTGCAAATTGGAAAAAACACATTCCTTAACAGAAATAAAAACACAAATGTATAAATACTCAAGACGTTTCTGACATTCTGTTCGTTATTGGCCTGGAGCATTAATTGTTTCTCTCTCTCCCAGATACTGCCTACACTGCAAACTCTTTTCCACATTTTGTGCTTTAATTTCAGATTTCCAGCATTTGCTGTATTCAACAAAGCCGACGCAAAATTTCCATGTTTAAAAGAACACAAAAAAGCAATGCACCATTATGGTCAGACATTCCTACTCACCAACTTTCCTTTATTTGTAAGGTGACCAATAGCCCAATGGACAGAAACAAAATAAAAATCTGTCCCACTATCATTTTTATAGTTATGCACTGTTTGTCAAAAGAATTCTCAGGTATTGTGTTGCTTATTAAGTATCTTGAAGGAAGTAAATTACTTTCCCTCCTTCCCAGTCCACACTTTTCAAATTTTGCCTCTGTTTCTGTGTAACAGTGCCAGGAAAACATCAGCTAAGGTTCTCCCCAATGAGGGACATCCAGCAAGGCATTATAATTGAGTCAAAGGCTGTAAGCTAAGTCTGTAGAAGATTGCTGAGACAGGCTAGGGTGAAACCATGGAGGAATTTGTAAATTTGAGGTTGGTGATTCTACACTTAAAGTGCAGTGAGTCAAAGCACTCCAGTAAAGACAATATTGTCTTTTTAAGTAATTAAAAATAGAAAGTATGAAAGAACTTTCAAAGAACCGTGTCTGACAAGTGTTTCTCAATATTAACTGAACATGAGGCAACAACTGCTGCAAATAATTCTGGTTAAATACAATGACTTACAGAGGATGGTAATACCTAGTGGTCTGTAGTTATTATTAGGTGTCATATCCATTCTAGTCCTACATACGTCATCAGCTGTTTAAAAACACCCTTGGCAATTCCCACGTCAAGCAGAACACAGGAGTAACAATATGAAACTGCTGGTATCAGATTCGTCATGTGTTGTGACTCTCCCGCTTTAGTTGTGGAATACCGTACAACTAAAGATTTATCTTGATATTTTTAACTGAAACTTTTGAACTTAGCCAGAAAACTGCGATACAAATAAGTAACTCCCCCCCAAAAAAAATCACTGATCAATGATACAATCGAATTGTCCCATTTATCAAGCAATAATCGTACTCATTCCCAATCGAATTAAAAAAAATTGTAAACAAACTGATGAAAAGCTCGCTGGCGTTACTGGCATCTACTCGAATTCATATGGACTCGAATTCATATGGCTAACAATGACTTGGGTTTTTGTTTGTACACGCGGGGGAATTCGTAAATTAACTGGCTGGGTTTAGGACTTATCCGAAGCATCAGAATGACAAACGTTTAATTTTTTGTTGAACAGAATTCTGTTTTTTGAAAAGAAAAACCAATAAATCACCGACCTTTCTCTGCTGCTTCTCCCAGGCAGGGTCCAGCAGGAGGTCTCTATCCCAGTCTTCCTCCTGCATCATGTACTCTTCCATCTCGCTCTCATAGTTGTGGTTATAATGCACCGTTTCTTCTGCCTGGGTTACGCTGTGGCTTTGGACATGGCTCACTGTGGTACTTTTCATGTGGGACATCATTTTTTTTTGTCTTGAGTGGAATTCTTGCGGGACGGCACAATTCGGAGGCTTTTTGGTGTTGTTTTTAAACTCTCTCTCTCTTTATCGGCAGGTTAAGTTGCTATACACTTTACGCTGTTACTGTGAGATCCACCTGCACTCAGACTCGACTCGACTCCTCTCCTCTCCTGTCCTGTCCTGTCCTCGCCCCCGGTTGTCAGCAAGCAGCACAGCGCGTGCCCGCCGCCCCGCTCTAATAGCCGCGGTCACGTGAGCAGCGCGTGCCCGGCAGGCCGCCTGGAACGTGGCCGACCGGCGCGCGCCTGCACGCTCCTGCGCGGCAACCGAGAGGTCCAAGTGTCCGAGAACAGATACGACCCTCCCCGAGGACTGCTGGCGTGGTGTGGTAGTCTCCCTTCCTCTGGGCTAGAAGGGCCGGGTTTAAGAACAAAGAAAATTACAGCACAGGAACAGGCCCTCCGGCCCTCCAAGCCTGCGCCAATCCAGATCCTCTATCTAAACCTGTCACCTATTTTCCATGGATCTGTATCCCTCTGCTCCCTGCCCATTCATGTATCTGTCCAGATACATCTTAAATGACGCTATCGTGCCCACCTCTACCACCTCTGCTGGCAACGCGTTCCAGGCACCCACCACCCTCTGTGTAAAGAACTTTCCACGCGTATCTCCCTTAAACTTTTCCCCTCTCATCTTGAAATCATGACCCCAAGTAACTGAGTCCCCCACTCTGGGAAAAAGCTTCTTGCAATCCACCCTGTCTATATCTCTCATTATTTTGTAGACCTCAATCAGGTCCCCCCTCAACCTCCGTCTTTCTAATGTAAATAATCCTAATCTACACAACCTCTCTTCATAGCTAGCACCCTCCATACCAGGTAACATCCTGGTGAACCTCCTCTGCACCCTCCCCAAAGCATCCACATCCTTTTGGTAATGTGGCGACCAAAACTGTACAGCAGTATACCAAATGTGGTCGAACCAAAGTCCTATACAACTGTAACATGACCCACCAACTCTTGTACCCCGTCCGATGAATGAAAGCATGCCGTATGCCTTCTTGACCACTCTATTGACCTGCGTTGCCACCTTCAGGGTACAATGGACCTGAACACCCAGATCTCTCTGTGCATCAATTTTCCCCAGGGCTTTTCCATTTACTGTATAGTTCGCTCTTGAATTGGATCTTCCAAAATGCATCAAAATGCATTTTGATCCAAAATGCATTTGCCTGGATTGAACTCCATCTGCCATTTCTCTGCCCAACTCTCCAATCTATCTATATTCTGCTGCATTCTCCGACAGTCCCCTTCACTATCCGCTACTCCACCAATCTTAGTGTCATCTGCAAACTTGATAATCAGACCGTCTATACCTTTCTCCAGATCATTTATGTATATCACAAACAACAGTGGTCCCAACACGGATCCCTGTGGAACACCACTGGTTGCAGTTCTCCATTTTGAGAAACTCCCTTCCACTACAACTCTCTGTCTCCTGTTGCCCAGCCAGTTCTCTATCCATCTAGCTAGTACACCCTGGACACCATGCGACTTCACTTTCTCCATCAGCCTACCATGGGGAACCTTATCAAATGCCTTACTGAAGTCCATGTATATGACATCTACAGCCCTTTCCTCATCTATCAACTTTGTCACTTCCTCAAAGAATTCTATCAAGTTGGTAAGACATGACCTTCCCTGCACAAAACCATCCTGCCTTTCACTAATAAGCCCATTTTCTTCCAAATGTAAATAGATCCTACCCCTCAGTATCTTCTCCAGCAGCTTCCCCACCACTGATGTCAGGCTCACCGGTCTATAATTACCTGGATTATCCTTGCTACCCTTTTTAAACAAGGGGACAACATTAGCAATTCTCCAGTCCTCCGGGACCTCACCCATGCTCAAGGATGCTGCAAAGATATCTGTTAAGGCCCCAGCTATTTCCTCTCTCGCTTCCCTCAGTAACCTGCGATAGATCCCGTCCAGACCTGGGGACTTGTCCACCCTAATGCCTTTTAGAATACCCAACACTTCCCCCATCCTTATGCCGATTTGACCTAGAGTAATCAAACGTCTATCCCTAACCTCAACATCCATCATGTCCCTCTCCTCGGTGAATACCGACACAAAGTACTCATTAAGAATCTCACTCATTTTCTCTGACTCCTCACATAACTTCCCTCCTTTGTCCTTGAGTGGGCCAACCCTTTCTGTAGTTACCCTCTTGCTCCTTATGTACAAATAAAAGGCTTTGGAATTTTTCTTAACTCTGTTTGCTTAAGATATTTCATGACCCCTTTTAGCCCTCTTAATTCCTCATTTCAGATTGGTCCTACTTTCCCGATATTCTTCCAAAGCTTTGTCTGTTTTTAGTCGCCTAGACCTTATGTATGCTTTCTTTTTCCTCTTTGCTAGTCTCACAATTTCACCTGTCATCCATGGTTCCCTAATCTTGCCCTTTCTATCCCTCATTTTCACAGGGACATGTCTGTCCTGCACTCTAATCAACCTGTCTTTAAAAGCCTCCCACATATCAGGTGTGGATTTACTCTCAAACAGCTGCTCCCAATCCACATTCCCCAGCTCCTTTCAAATCTTGCTATAGTTGGCCTTCCCCCAACTTAGCACTCTTCCTTCAGGACCACTCTTGTCTTTGTCCATCAGTATTCTAAAACTTACAGAATTGTGATCACTATTCCCAAAGTAATCCCCTACTGAAACTTCAACCACCTGGCTGGGCTCATTCCCCAACACCAGGTCCAGTATGGCCCCTTCCCGAGTTGGACTATTTACATACTGCTCCATAAAACTCTCCTGGATGCTCCTTACAAATTCTGCTCCATCTAAACCCCGAACACTAAGTGAATCCCAGTCAATGTTGGGAAAATTAAAATCTCCCATCACCACCACCCTGTTGCTCCTACATCTTCCCATAATCTGACTACATATTTGTACTTCCTATCTCACGCTCGCTGTTGGGAGGCCTGTAGTACAGCCCCAACATTGTTGCTGCACCCTTCCTATTTCTGAGCTCTGCCCATATTGCCTCACTGCTCGAGTTCTCCATAGTGCCCTCCTTCAGCACAGCTGTGATATCCTCTTTTACCAGTAATGCAACTCCTCCACCCTTTTTACCTCCCTCTCCTTCCCACCTGAAGCATCTATATCCTGGGATATTTAGTTGCCAATCTTGCCCTTCCCTCAACCAAGTCTCAGTAATAGCAATAACATCATACTCCCAGGTACTTATCCAAGTCCTAAGTTCATCTGCCTTACCTACTACACTTCTCGCGTTAAAACAAATGCATCTCAGACCACCCGTCCCTTTGCGTTCATCATCTGCTCTCTGCCTACTCTTCCCCTTAGTCACACTGACTTCATTATCTAGTTCCTTACAGGCTTTAGTTACTACCTCCTTACTGTCCACTAACCTCCTCATTTGGTTCCCATCCCCCTGCCACATTAGTTTAAACCCTCCCCAACAGCGTTAGTAAAAGCACCCCCTAGGACATTGGTTCCAGTCCTGCCCAGGTGTAGACTGTCCGATTTGTAATAGTCCCACCTCCCCCAGAACTGGTCCCAATGTCCCAAAAATCTGAACCCCTCCCTCCTGCACCATCTCTTAAGCCACTCATTTATCCTGCCTATTCTTTCATTTCTACTCTGACTAGCACGTGGCATTGGTAGCAATCCTGAGATTACTACCTCTGAGGTCCTACTTTTTAACTTGGCTCCTAACTCCCTAAATTCTGCTTGTAGGACCTCATCCCGTTTTTTATCTATAACATTGGTGCCTATATGTACCACGACAGCTGGCTGTTCACCCTCCCCCTTCAGAATGTCCTGCAGTCGATCTGAGACATCCCTGACCCGTGCACCTGGGAGGCAACATACCATTCGGGAGTCTCATTTTCGACCACAGAACCGCCTATCTACTTCCCTTACAATCGAATCCCCTATGACTATAGCCCTCCACTCTTTTTCCCGCCCTTCTGTACAGCAGAGCCAGCCACAGTGCCATGAACCTGGCTACTGCTGCCTTCCCCTGGTGAGCCATCTCCGCCAACAGTATCCAAAACGGTATCCCTTCCTCTGGGCTAGAAGAGCCGGGTTTAAGTCCAATCTGCTCCAGAGGACTGCTGGCGCAGTGTGGTAGTCTCCCTTCCTCTGGGCTAGATGAGCCGGGTTTAAGTCCCATCTGCTCCAGAGGACTGTCATGTCACACCTGTGACAGGTTGATTGGAAAATTTCTACAACCCCTGCGGATGTCTCGGAACAGTTTCTCGGCCGGCTTTAACCAGCAGCAATGGTCAATTCATCCCGGATGTGAAATGCTTCAGGACACTAAAGGGGTAAAAGATTGCAAATCTCAAAAGCGTGCAGATGACACGCAGAGCTGTCAGGAGGATTGTGATGGACTTCATAAAGGGACAGAGAGAGACTGTCAGAATGGGAGCACACAGCACGGAGGAAATTAGTGCAGGGAAATTTGAAATGGAAAGATGAAAAGAGGAAATATCTATCAAAGGACACAATTCTGGGAGGCGGGCGGGTGGGTGTAGGAACTGACAGACTTGGAGGTGCACAGTTTGTTGAAGGTGATGAAGTGATTTAAGTGAATGGACATAATAGAAGTAATGATGAACCTTTATAAATCCCTGATTCAGTCTCAACTGGAATATTCTCTCCAGTTTTGGCAAAACACTGGAGGAAGGATATGAAAGCTTTTGGAAAGTTGCAGAAAATATCCACAAAGATTGTTTCAGGAATGAGGGATTTCCGTTGTGCACGTTAAACGGAAAAGTTGAGATGTTCTCTGTCAAGAGGACATTTAATAGAGATAGTCAAGATCATGACAGGCCTAGACAAAGTAGAAAGAGAGAAACTGTTCCTGTCAGCGTCAAGGTTGAAAAACCACAGACAAGATTGGTTTAAGGTGATTGGCAAAAGAAGAAACAGGGATATGGGGAAAGAACACATTTTATTCAATGGATGAAAGCACTGCCTGAGAGTCGAATGGAGAGACGTACAATTGGAAATTTCACAAAGAAATTGAAATATGCACCTGAAGAGAAAACAAAGATCACAGGTGCAGGGAAATGATGAGTGGGACTGGCTGAGATGCTTTTTCAGAGAGTTGGTATGGACATGGTGTGTCAATTGGTTTCCTGTGCTGTAACCATTCTCTAATTCATTTTATGAGAACGATGCAGGGCATTCATTTAATGTCTTTCACTACCTCAGGATGTTTTACAAATTATTATGCACTGTACTATTCAAACAATCATTGAGATACTCTTTGACAGGTAGCAATCCTGTCAGAACTCTTATCACATTGGTACCCAACTAGTATGTTTATTTCAGGCCTTTAAAATGTATGGATAAATAAGTGTTGTAACAAAGCACAGAGATATTTAGTACTATTGTTTCACACAGAGACAAAACTGATTGGAAACTATATCCCTTGTGTGTTGGCTCCCAGCTGTAAAAAGAAGTAAACTTTGGTTGCTCCCTTGCTTCTGAAGTCAGCAGTTCAAGTCTCATTGTCACCTCCTCTTAATCTTTATATTTAAACAAACTTTGATTTGAGCTTGGTCTGAAATTACTGCAAGTTTCCTCAATTGCATGAACTCCATAGTTACAACTCTTTATTTGTTTACATTCCAGGAGATATTGATGGATTTCTCAGCTTTCCAAAGACGTTCATCTTGTTTGAAATTTCACTGCAGTATTGTACTGTTGGAATTGATGTTTTATATCCTTAGATCAGAGTTTATTGCTTGATTGCATACTGTTCCTGTGACAACTGGATCACAATATTTTCTTTCCTTTGTCAAAAGAACATGAAGAGATTGGAAAGGAAGTGAGCCAGAACCAGGCAGAATCATGAATGTCAAGACCTCTAGTTATCGTAGAAAAACAGTACAACTAATGGGACTGTGTCAAAGATTACCACCTGATTGAAGGGACTACCAAACTTGTGAGATGAAATTGGCAGTAATTATTCTTGGTTATTGGTTACTCCAGACATCAGGATGTGATTTTGTTGATGGTAGGTAGGAGGAACCATGCCCTGAATTATGCACCACATTGGAAAGCTGACAAGTTCATTCATTTTTCCAGAAATATGAACAAAGGGCTGTAACTATGAGGAATGTGGTAATGAGGAGACCTGCAGTGATGCATACCAAGTGAAGAGAAGATGATATTGGTAACAAAGGAAGCTTTTACATCTCATCCATTGTCACCAGGTAGAAAATCTGATTCGGCTTACTTATCTAAGAATATTGTAGATTTGCTAATAAAAGCAAAGCTGTAGATATTGCTTATTTGGAATCTAGGAGATATTTGGCACTGTCCCATAAAGTAAGCTGTTTGACATGATGCGTTTTTTTCTAGACAAACATGGATGAAAGGTGCGGAACAAAATGTGATACTGCATGTGGAGACATTGAAGTGGATACTAGAATCTGTTGGAGCCCTTCGGAGATTGACATTTAGTTGCTTTATTTTCATTGTATTTTTCAAAATTTAGCAACGACAGGAATGACTTAGAGAAAATGGGCTTTTTTAGTTAACTGTGATTGTAGTGAGTCATGGGCAAGCACAGCCTCCTGGAGCTTGCTGGGTGTAACTGCAGTCTCTTAGATGCATTTCTTAAATGCTTTATGGAATCAGAAAGCAACTTCCCAGTTTTCCCTGAATTATCCGCAAGATTTTTAATCTGCCTGTTTCCTTCCCCAACACTTAGCATGGCTAAGAAGGGTGAACAACATGTGGATGTATTGTGGCTCCCAGTGTATCTTGAGTATACTTCCATGAACCCTATTTCTTGTAAGGAATCTGTTCTATTCTCCCACTTTCTCCACTTCTGTCACATCAATTCTGATGATATGAACTTCCAGAGAAGTTGAGAGGAGAGGAAGAGGAACTCGGCAGTTTGGCTTATAGCAGACCAGACTGCATGCTTCTGGCTCCTTAATATGAGAGTGAAGATGAAGGAAAACATCTTGAGGAAAGATGGTTATAAAGACTTTCACATCAGTGAGGTGGATGTTCTCTGTACTGTTTATTTCCCATGAGTGTGGAATGACTAGTGTTGCAGCTTATGAGGAGGAAGAAGAAGAATGCTTCAGGGTATGTGTGTACATGTCATGAGGAAAATCCATGTTAATCACCTCCACAACCCCAGCCTCATTGCCTGTGTCAGCTGGAGCTGTTTCTTTGGGAGTTTAAATGCCTGAGCAAAAGTAAGAGGCCAGTGAAGACACATCACCCTCCTGAAGAATAGAGACCCATCCATCCAGAGTTCTCATCACACCATCTCCAAAACACCTTGAGACCTTTACCCTTTTCTCAGTGTCAACCAATGTATTCTCTCTCTCTCTCTCTCTTTCTCTCTGAGCTCAACGATTAGCACACGCCCTTGAACTCTGCCCAGGGTCCATCACATCAGCACATTATCCCAAGCCTGTCATGCCCCTGCATGGCAAAGTAAAGGACAGTGTGGAGCAGGACGCCTTCTGTGAAATAGGGGTCATTCCTGCTCCTCACCCATCATGCAAAAGACTCCACGATTCGGAAGGACAGGAGGTTTCTGACAAGACCTTCATTTGTGCAGACATGACTGTGGTGCTCCCCCATGGGTCTTTCACCTTGCCTCCTTGAGATGAAGGGCTGACTCACACTTCCCCTCAACTGGGTTCTGTGTCTTCAGTCTGAGGTGAATGCAGCCCTTGATGCACCTGAGGTTTTGCCTGGCCCAGCTGGGAACTGCAGCTGTAACAATGCAACTGCTAGTTCCTATGCGGGTGTGCAGAAGGGAATGACTACCTCTCACTTTCCCTGGATTTAACCCAGGACACTGATGTGCCCATTTTTGGAAATTCCACAAAGGATTTTACTGTTATTGATCTGGGTGTGGGATCAGATCTAAGCAGCAATCCTGAACAACTGTCCACACTGAATGTGCAAGAGGTGTCCAAGGTTGGAGAAGACAACCTGGAAGAGGACAGAGCCCTCATCACGAGCACTGAGGACACAGAAGAGATGGTGGGTGGCCTTGTCTCGCAGATTGACTTCCTTATCTCTGTTGGGGAATTCCAGGAGTTTTTATGTCAGCCAAGTCACCGAGACAGGGCCCAGTTATCACTGGGCAAGTGGCAAGCTCTTACACTTCTGTTTCTAACTGCTTTGAGGCTAAAAACAGGAATGGATAGCAATATGAAGTAATGCTACCATGGTTTTCTTTCTGGAATCATTAAAGAGTTCAGGGCTAGAAAAGGCCTTTCTCCACAGTCCATAAGATGTAGGGTGACTGTTGCACAATTATGTGCAAGAGGACTACCATAACAGCCTCAACATCAATGGCAGCAGAGAGGCACAGTGTGGATTTTATAATCTGTTATTCCCAAGAGGAGGAAAATATGCCATATGCCTATTGTAGGAAACCCACACCATTCTGGGAGATGAAACCATTTATGTGTCCTCTTGAGTGACCAGCTTTGAATTCTAGTGGGGTGGTTATCTTGTTGGGCCCATTGTTTCAGCCAAAGGTATACAGGCTCAAGAAGCATGTGCCAAGCTGCTTTTATGAAATTACTGTCTCATGTTGAGGTGTGGTGCTTTGCTTTGTGAACGTATACATGCCCCAGATAGGATCAGAGCAAAGACTTTTCTGATTGTTTATTCATCTTAGCTCTGTTGATGAGGACAAAGTTATTTTCTTAGAATGGGGTGGTGGTGGGAGCTGATGTGGATTTTAATGGTACTTTGAAGGGACCCAGATGAGCTCAGCATCAGTGGAAAGTTCAGGGATTTGATAAAGTTCTTTGACTTCATAGATATCTTGTGAAATCTCTGTTCTCCAATGCCGTCAGTTTTGTTTTAGGCCTAGAGTAGGCACATTCAGGATCGATTACCTTTAGTCATAGAAACCCTACAGTGTGGAAACAGGCCCTTCGTCCCAACAAGTCCACACCGACCCTCAGAGCATTCTTCCCATCCCCATATAACCCACCTACTCTACACATTCCTGAACACTACAGGCAATTTTGCGTAACCAATCCACGTAGCCTGCACATCTTTGGACTGTGGGAGGACACCCACGCAGACACACAGGGAGAATGTGCAAACTCCACACAGTCGCCCGGCCGTGGAATCGAACACGGGTCCCTGGAGTTGAGAGGCAGCGGTGCTAACAACTAAGGCGTACATTTTCTGAGACCTCCTTGCGACTCGTGCCTTACACTGATCAAGGACTGGTGTGGGTGGAGCTTGTTCCATTCCGTTTGGGTAGGATTCGCGCACTGGCACTTCATCGCCGAAGAAGAGTCAGATCCGATTCGAAACGTTAACTCCTTTTCGTTCTCCACAGTCGCTGCCAGACTTGCTGAGTTTCTCCAGCATTCTCTTATGGTTGTTTCAGATTTCCAGCATCCGTAGTGCTTTTTCTAAATTGTATTATGAGTTCTGCAGACTGGTCTGGTTCCGCAGACAAATGCCTTTTATTCTTTACTCTTGCATCTGACAGAGAAAAACATAAAACAGCTTCCTTGAGGTGATGCTGCTTGGCCTGCTGTGTTCATCCAGCCCTGCACCTTGTTGTCTCTCCTTGAGGTAATTGTTGACATTCTGGCACCTGAACCAGGCCGACAACGCAGGGCTGAATGCAGAGCTGCTGCTGTTTGCTATTACGGTGAAATTATGAAGATTGATTTAGTTGCAGGAAATCATATAAGCACACAGCTATCAGTTCACAAGGAAAGCGAGTGAAATGGAACTATGATCACTTATGGTGAAAGTTCACTCAGAGAAGACATCTGTTTCGCTGCGGGCGTCGCACTCAAACCCGGAAGTGACCTCTACCAATCGCGAAGCGAAGAAGCCTGTCAATCACTCCCGTAGCGGCTTCTCATTGGACGATTGGTTAATTGTTACATCCGCCTCTGTGTTCGGTGTCTGCGGAGTGGGTTCGTTTCCATTTGGTGTCTTTGGGTTTCTGTTGGTTATCCCTAGTTAATAGGTCCCCACATGTCTAGCCCAACGATATTCAACCCGGTAAGGACTCAGTTTCGGCGTGTTTTGTGTGTGCGTCTTATTTAGTAAGCTAGTCTGTGCTGTGTGAATCTCCCTGTGAACAGCTGATTGACTTGACAGAAATGTTAGCAATAATGAAGATCAGCCAATGGGCCAACCCTTTTAAAAGATAGTGAGTTTACAGATCCGAAATCTTTCTACTGGAATCACTTTCAATTTAATTATTTCATGAGAGGACTAGACCTTGTGTAGCACCGTGGAGGTTATGTTTCTGTAGTCACTTGGTAGTAGAGTCAGGTTAGGCTATCACCTACATATCTGAGAAATAATTACAAATGAGAAAGCTAACTTGGCTCTCCAGCTCATCCTTTCACATCCTTCTTGCATCTCTCACTTCCTGGTCGTTCTTCGAAATAGTTTTTGACTCCATGATACTGATTAACTGGACCATTTCAAGAGCAAAAGAGTGGCTGGTGTTTGTGCAGAATACACTTTTGAACTTTGGCTGAGTTGGGACATTTTAATTGCTTGTGTTTAAAAAAAATGAGCAATGGTGTACGTCGTTAATCTTAACCAAAAGTGTCCACTTGCCTAATGTGATGGTCCAGATGAAAATTTTATTGGAAATCCGAGGATTTCTCCACAAAAAGCAGTTATATAGTTTCACCTTCCTAACTCCCAGAGCATATGGGGTAGTGAGAGCCAGCAAAATCTGTTAAACTGAAAAGTCATACGTGGGAAAGACATTTCTGCTGCACCAATTTCCTCTTTAAGCTTTTGTACGATGTTTTAAAAGTAATTGAAAATTATTTTAAGAAGTCACGTGTCTAAATTGAATTGTAAAATGTCATTACATTCAAACTTAAAAAATGTGTGTATAGTGTTTAATAATTTCATACCTTTGTCTTTATTTTCAGAAGTTATTTCTAATCGATTTATTTTTGGAGTGTGAATGTCCTGGCAAGGCTGGCCTTTACTGCTTATCTCTAATTGTCCTTGAGAACAATTTGTCTGTGAACCACTTTCTTAAACTGTTGCTGGCCATATGGTGTAGATACCTATACTGTTCTTATAGAGAGGGATTTCTGAATGGTTTGCTGAACTATTTCAAGAGGCAGTTAAGATTCCTGGCGTGGAGGCATGTGTAGGCTAGCGTAAATAAGGCTGGCAGATTTTCTCTCCATTCATGAACCATGACGATTTGTAACAGAGACTAGCATTTTATTCCAAATTTATTGAATTTAAATTCCCCCAAGCTGCTCTGCTTGGATTTGAATGTGTCTCAGGATTACTTGTCCAATAACCTTATCACCATGCTATTGCTGTACCCATGCGCACTGCCTCCCAAAGTTTCCTTGTGGTTTTGCATACCACCTGCCACAAATCCAATTTAGCAGTTATATCCTTTATAACTCGGCCAGCACAGTCGTGGCACCGCTGAGCAACTCCTAGCAATGGACATTGAAATTTTCCACCAGTTTATACTGTGCATCACAAGTACTCCGGCTGTAAATTACTTTTGAACATCAGTTGTGTTGAAAGGCATGATATAAATTTGAATGTCTTGTTCCTTTTGTCAATAGAAATACTTAAAATTATATTTTCACAGCATTTTTCTGAAAACGATAATACTGTGAATGGCTTGACCGTGAATCAACTTCAATTCTTGTACTGAATGATATAGCAGTGAACTCTAAGCCAGAAGTGAATCTATTTTAATTATTTAGCAGCTGAAGAACTTCCCACTTTTTATACAGAAATGATAACTTTAGAGCAGTTTCAGATTGTGTCTGACCATTTTCAGAATCTTGATTTCATATTACACAGATTTTATACAATTCACATAGTAACTGTTCAGAAGTATCGGAGACATATTGCTTTTAACCTATTTTTTCTTCAATGCTATAAACCTCAATTTTAATTCCTTCTGGCAAGGTCTGAGGCAGATGACAATATTGGAACTTCAGCATGGTATATTTATCAAATTTCAGTTGCAACATTTAGATGTTCCTCAAATGCACGCAGTGTCCAAAGTTCAAACACTCTTCCTGTTGATTCAATCAGTCTAGGCCCAAAACGTCAGCCTTCTTGCTCCTCTGATGCTGCTTGGCCTGCTGTGTTCATCCAGCTCTACACCTTGTTATCTCGTATATTTGAACTTGTTCTGTTCAATCCTGAATCTTTGTCTCTTGTTCTCCATGGTTTGCTTTCTGTATTTTGTTGAGAATCTGTTTTATATTACTTGATATGGTCTCTTGTAAACTGTCTCTTTTTCAAGGCTGAAGAACATACATAAGATCACGCATGATGTACAAAAGAAACGAACCTTAGTTCAACTAGTGCCAGTTTTCATGCTCCAGTTGAGCATCCTATCATCTCTTCTGGTCTAAATCCATCATAGTAACCATTTATTTCCTTCTCAGTCATATTTATCTTATTTACCATTAAAAGCATCCATATTATTTGCTTCAACAACTTGCTTCCTATTTATTGATGCTTCTTTATACCCTTATTCATCCATGGCATTGCACTAATGTTCAGTTTGTTCTTTCTTTTTTGTAGAATACATGTTTCCTGCACGTTGTTGAATGCCAGTTTTAGTATGGAAGGGCAAAATGTGTCAGTGCAGGCTTGGAGGGCTGAAGGGCCTGTTCCTGTGCTGTATTGTTCTTTGTTCTTTTGCCATTTTAATTGTTTCCTATTGTTATTCAACCCTGTTATTTACCATTTTTGCTGCCCATTTTAGCTCTGTTCTCAACAACCTCGAGTTGGAATTTCTTCAATTTCTATACTCAGTTTTCATCATACTTGTGTAATTTTCTATCATTATTTTATTGTGTAAAGAAGGGGAGGTCAAACCCCTCTGATAATTAAAATTGAAACACAAGCCCCCAATCTGTTACAGTGGGAGTAGAGGTCCCCTTCTAATAATTAAACCTGAAGCACCCAGAGAAGTTCACCTCGCCTCACCTCACCTCACCTAATCTATTAAACTGTTACAGAGAAGGGGAGGTTAAATGAAAGAAAATCCCTGATGTTCACTTTATAAGTAACACTTAACTATTTATTTAACCCTAACAGTGAACAAATTAACAGAATTAATACCAAACCGAATAATTCCCCCTTAACTAATAGCTATTCCCTAACTGAACTAAATTCTACTGGTATGCTGTTCCAATAAACATAAGTCTCACGTATATAAGCCCAAGTAATAAGAAAATAAATTAAAAGTTAGTCCCTCAAAGTCGACACACCTTTCTTCAGTTCTCAAATCATCAACACCTTTCTCTTCTGCTGATCAGGCTGTCAGGGATGTTTTCTCTTCAGTGAGGACTGTGAGAAGCGCCTTTTATGGGTAGATGATGCTTTCTTAGAGAGATTAGCAATTTCTTGTGAGACCTAGATACTTATTTCTCAGGTGGCAGTTTGCTTTCACACAGATTTTTCAAAAACTCTCTCCTTGCATACTTTGGATGACCTATCAATTTTCTTACAATAGCATTGGTTTGTCAAAACTATCAGATTTAAATTCAATTGCCTTTCAGTTGTTAAGTGCTTGGTTTAGATTAATTAGCTAATTCCAGCTAGTTGCCAAAACATCAAAACAAGCCTAAGATTTCCAATCACGCAGCCAATTGATGTATGATTCAATTTCAGAGCTGATTGTACATCTTCAGCTACATACAGACATTTTTTTTCTATATAAATCTCTAAGCTTAGAAAAGCACTTTACCTCTTAAAGAAACCATGTGCTTTTCTCCCTTATCATTTTTAAACAAACAAATTCCAGCTCGCTGCCTTCCAATTCACGAGTATGCTACACAATACCGTAATAATAGTGTATTATGTTAGGTTACTATGGCCTACTTTAATGTCTCTGCTTCATTCCGAATTGTTAGATACAATAGCGAACCTTCACTTGTTGGGCTTTTTTACAAATGGGTTTGGAATGGAATTTTTGACCTATTTTAGTAACTTCATTTGCTTAACCCCTTTACTTACTTGGTCTGTCCAATTAATATCAGGATGGTTGAAATCCTCGTTTTTTTGTCTCTTAATGTAAGAACATGTGTCTTTCCTCTGACATGTAGAATCAGCCTCATTATCTCCTTCAACATGTTCTCTAGGAACTGGACAACTGTCTTAAGTTGCAATAACTGGAAACATAACGCACATATAGACTGAGTAGAAGAATATACAGCGTGCATTGTATTGTGGCTATGGTTTGATTATCCTATGATAGCTTGACCCATCTTCAGTATTAAAGCAAACTCAATTCATGCTCAATATGTAACTAAGGAGTTAATTTAAACACATAGTAATGGTACTGCAAGTTGCTCTAAACTAATGCAAGTATTACTGATCCCCCAACGGTCTAATAATTTAATCATTTAAGCTTGGCTGTTACATTTTCTTGCAGGTTATACCATATACTGGTGCGATCTTTGGTGGTTTGCAACGAGGGCAGATGATAGCAGTGCAGGGAATATTGCCCAAAGAAAGTGAAAGGTAAAACATCACATTGAAAATTTACACTGGGAAGAAAATTTTCTGTTAATACAGTGTGGAGCTGGAGGAACACAGCAGGTCAGGCAGCATATTAGGAGCAGGAAAGTTGATCTTTTGGGCTTATGCCCTTCATTAGCACTCAAAATAAGTTGGATAAGAGACTCGGAGATAGAAAATTTTATGTGGTGACCAGGACACTTATTGAGAATTTCCCTTTGGCAGGGATTTGCAACTTACAAATTTTGAGGAAGCCAGTTACTTTAGTTTTAGAAGAACATATATTCTTTAAATCATTCTGGCATTCTCGGGGAGACGCTTTCTTTCATTTGACTGACAAAAGTTGTCAAAGTCAAATCATTGAAGTGGTAAATTTACATTCTGAAGGACTGTAGTGAAATGTGTCAAATGCACAAGTTAAAGAGGAAGGAAAAGGCAGTGCAGGGTAGCAATGTAGATCATGGTAACTAGTGTGACAGAGGGGGACAGAATATATGGAGATAAGAGTGCAGCAGCAAATGTGATCAGATTAAGGAAAAAATAGCTTTGAGGTAACAGCGAGGCTATAGCTAACAAATGTATGTGGCTTTAATATGGTATATTCCGAATGCTTTTCCAAAATCTGCCCCATTTTAGTAGACTTTGTAGAATGTGGACCAGGCCACCAGTAGGTTCAAGAAACCAGATAGCTGACAATGATAAAATACGAAAATAGGTGGAAAAACAAGCAGTGATGAGGAGATATAGTTTACAGATAGTTAATGATAGGTTAGGAGAATGGACCAGAAGCTTGCAGATGGAGTTTAATGTGGATAAGTGCAAGGTTGTCCAGTTTGCCGGAAAAAGCAAACAAGCAAATTTTTCTTTAAATGGGAAGGAGATTCAAAGTGTGTCAGTGCAGAGGGATCTGGGTATCTTTATGCATGAATCACAGAAAGTGGGTATGCAGGTACACCATATAATAAGAAAGGCAAATGGAATCCTGGCATTTATTGCAAAAGGACTGGATTATAAAAGTAAATAAGTGTTATTATAATTGTATAAGATGTTGGTGAGACCACACCTGGAATATTGTGTCCAGTTCTGGTCTCCTTACTTGAGGAAGGATGTGGTGGCACTGGCAACAGTTCAGAGGAGGTTCACCAGATTGATTCCAGGGATGAAAAGACTGTCGTACAAGGAACAGTTGAATAGCTTGGGCTTATACTTGCTGGAGTTAGAAGAATGAGGGGGGAATCTAACTGAAGTATATAAAATGCTAAAAGGGATTGATAAGGTGGACATGGAACAGATGCTCCCCTTTGAGGGACAGACTCAAATAAGAGAGCATAGAGTGAGAGCAGGTAGGTTCAAAACTGAGATGAGGTGAAACTACTTCTCTGAGGGTTGTGATTCTGCTAAATTCACTGCCACACTGTGTGGTGGAGGCAGAATCTAAACTAACTCCACAGAAGCTGATATCCCATTACCAAGTCACCCTTTATTTACACATGCATATACTTGACACTGGTCAGGCTTCCTTAGAGTGAACACAATCTCTGACACTCCTGTTCATACCTGTCAGCCAGGGCTCCCTGATGGTGCTGTTAATCTGGTCCAATCAGGGAACTCATTCTACGAGGGCCACCTGGACGACATCATTACAATCACTGCAGAATCAATCAACAGATTCAAGAAAGAAACAGATATGTTTCTGATGAAAAGCGGGATAAAGGGCTATGGAGAATGGGCAGGAAAGTGGAGTTGAGACCAGAATGAGATCAGCCATGATCATGTTAAATGGTGGAGCAGGCTTGAAGGGCTGAATTGCCTACTGCTGCTCCTAATTCCTATAATGAGTTTGATTTTTCGTGGAGTGAAAATGTGTAACTTCTCTCAGTGCACGTGTATGTCATTGTTGAACCTTTGTACAGATTCCAGGTGGATTTACAGTGTGGAAGCAGTGAAAAACCTCGTGCAGATGTAGCCTTCCATTTCAATCCACGTTTTTGGAGATCTGGGTGCGTGGTTTGCAACACTCTGGTGCATGAAAGATGGGGACGTGAAGAGATAAAATATGAGATGCCATTCAAAAAAGGAGAGCCATTTGAAATCATTTTCTTCATAATGGTTGACAGGTTCAAGGTAATGCTAGCTGTTCTTAATTTTTCTCTAACTTGATATTTTTCTGACATGGCATCTCGGTACTGTCTAATTGTGGGACTTGTAAAAGATATTTAAATGCAACAATGTGCCCATCATACTGCATTATTCAATAACTTGTAGTGCCATTGTAAAATTTAACATGTTTTGCTATTTGCATACAAACTTTAACAATTTGAGCATAATAACTCACATTTGCAGTCGACCTTAAATCTTCTGCCATGTAGGGATTTTTTTTCTTGTATTGCTGGTAAATGTGATGGTTAACCTGACTCTCTGGCCATTGCTCTTGATACACTTGAGCAGTATACAAGGTCAAATAGTTCAGCTTAAAAGGAATTAAGAACCAACAATGTACAATACAGAAATGGGAATGCTTAGTAAGCATCAAATGTGGATGGAGACATAGTTGCGCTGAACTTTTTATGTCCTTTCCTGCAGTATGGGTCCCCTTGAGCAGTGAATGGGGATTGTCTGCATTTATACTTTACGTAATTTGCATTTAGAAATAAAATACTTCAGTCAATTGAGATGTGAAAGTAATGTTTCTGAACAGGACTTCACTTACTTGTTCTTTTTTAAAGAACTTTTCACATATATTGATCGAATATTAATTTAATCTTGCTGTCAAATTGAGTATAGTATATGAGCTCCATCTCTTACTTAATGTTTTCTGTGTGATGCTTGGTAGTTGAATTGAAACATAAATGTCAAATCTTTCAGTTCACCTAAAGGTGATTCTTTAACATGTTATACAATCAGACACTTTTTTTAGAACATCCTTCTGCTGGCTAACAGCTTCTGATTTTCTTGCTTCTTTGTAAATGTGTAACTAATGCAAAGTATAATTATTCCAGTCATGTCTGCATCTTCTATAGTCTTAGCATCTTTTTCAAAACTCAGCTCTGTTTGCATCATTTCCCTTTAATGTAACTGCCTTGTTGTATTGTATTTAGCGTTATTAATAGAGGCACATAGTTACTGGATCATCAGAGTGGAAATGCCATATTGCTGTGATTATTGCAATGGTGTCAAATCCACTGGCTTTCTGTTTGTGTGCAAAGATACAAAGGGAAAAACAAATGGAAACTCATTTTCTATTTTTACTTTAATGTAAATGTACAGGCAAAAATGTTATACAAAGAAAATACAGTTTGTAAGGGAACTGAGAGTGAAATGTTTCAAATGCCCCTGTCTGTTGTGTCAGGACAATTAAGTTTGCTGGAAGTTTTGGAGCAAGTTATTTAATTGAATTCTGCTGTTTGTACAGGGAGGTGTAGACAGAAAGTAGGTTGAAATTATAGCATTGATTGTATTGGTAATGTGTGACGTTAACTTTAGTTATTACACTTGAGGTGATGCAGTGCTATTCAACCTAGAGATTAGGGAGACTTACTGTAGGACAGTTTAACAAATAATAATTTGAGTACATGTGTGTTGCAGTATAAATTGTTCAGATAACACCGTTTCCTTGCTACTCTCTTTTTTTCTGAAAAGGAACTTGTATATATGGCTGCTTACATTGTTCGTTATAATCCTGGCAAGGCTAGAAGGGGATACTTCTTTCACACAGGGTCTCTTTTTCTCCATATTTTGAGCAAAGTATTGAAGATATGGGGAACAAGTCATGAAGATGTATTAACTAGTCTGACAGAACTGTGTTTTGTTGAATGATAACAGGAGACGTAGAGTCAAACACAGATTTTCGGAGAACTTGGAGGTGCCTCATAATGTCCCACATGTTTTGGCCTGGGGATAGTTCTGTTCAATGTACTGACGATGTGGACATAGTTCTAGGTGAAATTTATAGATACCAAAATAGGAAATACACCATTCTTTAGGAAGTTACAAAGTGATATTGACAGATGGAGGTGGTGTCAGATAGAAATCAGCATTGTTGAGGTGACATATTTGCTTTAAAAAGCTAACTATGGTAATTAGAAGTAGTTTTTGTGCAATAGCTGAACTGAAGGATTTGGTCCACTAATGGCAGCACTTCATATTGATAAAGTTGTATAAAACCCCTGGTATAATTTTAATTTTATTGTGAGCCTTATAAAAGATGAAAAGTACTGATGAACCTCTCTGAGCATTCTGACCTCCACTTACACTTTTGGGCAGATATTGAGACCTCAGAGAGGATACAACACAAATTTAGTTAGTTACTGCCTGGTGAAAGGAAACATAAAGATGAAAAACATTTTTTTTGGTTAGAATGATGCTGATAACGGATGAATCTAATGGAAATTAATGAATTAATAGGAAACCAAAAACTGGAATACTATATTTTGTGGTTCAGGGATCTAGAATGAAGGGCCTTCGTTAAAAGATTAATTAAAGAGATCTATTGCAGAGATGAATATTTTTAAGAGTTAGAAACAAGTAGCATTCACTTCCAGCCCTTGTTCCTGCCTTGTTTAGTTTGCCTAAAGTGAAAGGGTTGAAGGGAATGGGAGGGTAAATGTGATTGCTTATGTGGGGGTCAAATAGATCCAACGCTGACACTGACTAACTTAGCTGTAATGACCTGTTTCTATGTTTCAGGTTGTAACAAGGCACTGTAGTTGAGCTGCATTAACCTGCTCTATAAATAAATATATATTTATTTACTAGGTTGCAGTTAATGGAAAACATTTCCTGGACTATCAACATAGAATAAGTATGGAGAGAGTTGACACACTTGGAATCTCTGGTGTGGTCCAAATTCAAACGATTTGTTTCTTGAACAGCACTGTAAGTAAGAAGTAAATAAGCACAAGAATGCGTCTCCAGATGTTGTATTTTTCAATAGAATTTTCCCCTCATCTCATTTTCCACACTGCTCCATCTCCCTTTCACTTTTTGATGTATTTCCTTTTTCCAAACTTTCTGACCAGGCCATTTCTGGGTGATTATAAGTTCATAATAGGAAGTTCAGAACTGTCTTTCAAATCAAATGTCATGAAATTATTTCCTGTTGTACTTTCATCTTTGTTTTTCTTTGTCAACTTTTGACTTTGCAACATGTTTGGCTATTTGCCAATTTGTACTGACATGGTTAGAGTGTCTTTTGTAACTAATCAATCTAAGTTTGTAAAATTGATTAGTGGATATTGGTGACCCACATAACTTCAAAACACAATGTTGTTTGATATGGTGTTGTCCTCCTGATTTCCACTGAAGACAGAGTATACTTCTGGAACAAAAGCAGCTCTTTGAAATTTGATTTTGTGGTGCACCTCAATATTCTGATTGCGTTACTGAAAATAGGTAATATCATACTAGTGCTGAGGTCACACTGATTTATGCTAATATTTGTTTACAACCATTGGGATCTACTGTAAAAGGTCTCATTACTGTAGACACTTGATGCTCCTAATGTGCTCTAACTGTTCTCTACATTCAAAAACCAGATAGTCTAATAAACATTTCTGTCGTAACTAACTTTAGGAGCAGGATAATCCATATTACAACCTTTCAATAAAGAAGACTGATACAAGTGGGACTGTAAGTCTGAGCAATTGTCTTTTTAAACTGTCTTTCTAGTGCCTTCAAGTTATTACACATTGACTCAATAATCTTTGTTGGTATTGCAGCATGCCAAGCATACAAAGATTCCGCTGGTAAGTACACAATTGTTTGTTTGGGCCACATATTGTGAACAGATTGACTTGGATACTTGGTGCTTTAGTTTAGCATTTCTGAAACTGTCACAGTATATTTTCAACCAACTCCATTCTCAGCTACTTTGGAAAAACAAACGGAATGCCTCCACAGTTGTAAATTGTAAATAAATCCACCAAACAGAACATGATAATACTGCAACATCCAAGCACAAGAAAGTGACTCCAGAGGTTATATTTTTCAGTAGGATTTTCCCCTCATCTCATGCCCCCTTTTTTCACACTGCTCCATCTCCTCTTCACTTTTTGACGTATTTACGTTTTTCAAATTTTCTGACCAGGCCAGAAGGGGTAGAAAAATGTAGAATGCAGGTGAAAGTCTTAGGGTGTAATTTAATTGTTAATCTTTTTCATGTTTTTAATACTTGGAAGATCTTTTGGTTTTTAGGCAGTCCCTTACATGGGTAAGATTGAGGATGGATTATGTCCAGGTCGGACAATCACTCTTCAAGGCAAAGTCAATAAGAACCCAGACAGGTAAGTTAGTTTTATAATTGTTACAAATTGCATTTTTTAAGACATAGGAGCATTCGCAGCCTATCGAGTTTGCTCCACTTTTAATCCTTGATTAAAAATCTCTCAATCTCAGTTTTGGATATATCCGAAGCTAAGTATATGACCCAATCTCAACAACCCATTGCAGTAAAAAAAACTTCACAGATTCACTACCCTCTGAGTGAAGTAATTCCTCTTCATCTCTTAAATGGATAAACCCTTATTCTGAGATTATGTTGTCTGGTCCTAGACTCTTCCACGAATAGAAACAATGTTTTTTGCATCTATCCTCTCAAATCCCTTAAGAATTTTGTATGTTTCAAAAGGTCACCTTTCATTTTTCTAAATTCCAAAGAGTACATACCTGACCTATTGAACATCTCCTCTTTGGACAGTTTCTTCATACCTGGTATCAGTCCCTGGAGCCTGCCCTACCATTCAATAATATCATGGCTGATCTGTGGCCTAACTCCATATGTGTGTCTTGGGCCCATGTCCCTTGATAACAATTGAATTAGAATTGACCACCATGAGGAAAAGAGTTTCAAATCCCCACGACTCTTTGCGTGTCAAAGTGTTTTTTAACATCTTTCCTGGATGGTCTGGCTCTAATTCTTAGACTATGCTTGACCCCGGTTCTAGAATCTTCAACCTGTGGAAATAGTTTATCTTTTCCTGTTAAATTCTGAATACCTCGATTATATCACCCCTTAACCGTCTAAATTCTAGACCATAGAGGCCTAATTTGTCTGATCTGTCCTCATAACTTAACCCCTTAAGTCCAGATATCATCCCTGTAAACCTGCATTGAACACCCTCCGGGTCAAAACATCCTTCCTAAGGTATGATGCCCAAATCTGCTCTCGGTATTCCAAGTGGGGTCTAACAAGGGTTTTGTATGACTGTAGCGTAACGTCTGCATCCTTCTATTCCAGCCCTATAGATCTGAATTAGCGTTTTTGATTATTTTCTGCACCAGTTCCTGGCATTTTAAAGAGCTTTGCTCCTGAACCCCCAAATCTTGTTGGACAATCACTGTATTTAACATTTTACCTTCTAAACAATACCTGATCTATCCTTTCTTTGGTCCAAGATGGATAAAGTCACACTGACATTAAAATCCATCTGCCACAGCTTTGCACATTCACCTAATTTGTCAGTTTCCTGTGGCAATTTTATGCTTCCATCAACATTGTCGACAATGCTGCCCAATCTTGTGTCATCAGCAAATTTGGATATTTGACTCAAAACTGAGTCTTCATCAAGAGTCACCACACTCAAAGTTAACTCTTCTTTCTTCCCACATATGTTGCTGGCTCTGCTGAGTTTCTCCAGCATCCACAGTTCTTTGTCTTATTTTGGATATTGGACTTCTTTATACCATTATCCAGGTCTTTAATGAATATTGTGAATAATTGACGCTCCACAGATCCCTGTGGGACACCACATGTTACATCCTGCCAATTCGTGTACTTACACATTATTCCAACTCCCTCTTTCCTGTCACTCAACCAATTTCCTATCCATGTCTGTAATTTGCTTTCAAATCCCTGGGCAGCCACCTTAATCAACAGTCCCGTGTGGGACTTTATCAAAAACAATCACAAAGTCCATATAAACAACATCCATTGATTTACCTCCATCCATCGCCTCTGTCATCTCTCAAAAAACTGAGGTTAGTCAAGCATGACCAACCTTTCATGAATCCATGCCTGCTCTCTCTGAATTACTGAAAATATTTGAGATGTTAGCTTGTCCTTGATTACAGACTCTAACAATTCCCCCACCACAGATGTCAGAATAACTGGCCTGTAATTTCCTGGCTTCCCTCTGCCACCTTCTTTAAGAGTGGAGTGATATGAGCAACTTTTCAATCAAGAGGTACAACTCCTGGATCCAGGGAACTCTGAAAGATTATTGTTAGGACATTGGCAATGTGTTCTCCTACCCCCTTAAACAGCTGTGGAAGGAAACCAACAGATCCTGGGGATTTGTCACTCTTCAGTTCCATCGATTTGCCTATTACTGATGATTTACTTAAGCTCGTTTTATTTAGACACTGTCACTGATCCTCTTAATTTTTTTGGCACTTGCGGCAAGCTATTCTCCTTTTCTGCTGTGAGTACTGAAGCAATAAAATCGTTCAGCATGTCTGCCGTTTCCCCATGATCATTAACAATATCCCCATTCTCAGCCTTCAGTGGTCCAAAAGTACTCTTAACCAGCCCCTTTCCCTTTATACAACTACAAAATCTCCTCTTATGTGTCTTGCAAGTTTCCTTTTGTAATCCTTTTTAGCTGCTTTTATAAATGTCTTTGTGTTTGTCCGATTCTGTATTGTTCTTTGTTTTCATCAGTCCTCTCTCTTAATTTTATGCTGTCCATTACTTCCTTAGATGTCCATGGCTGTTTTGTGAGGTGGAGCTTTTCCTTCTCATGGGTACAAACTGCTTCTGAAATAGTATTAAGTGTTTCCTTGAACACCCATCACTATTCCTTGATTGCTTTACCTATTAGCAGAGCTTCCCAATTTACTGTGGACAGTCTCTGCCTTATCCCATTAAGATCTGTCTTACTTAATTCCAAAATTCTACTTTCTGATTTTTGCTCGTGTTTTACAATGACTATGTGAAACTCGTTCATGTTATGATCACTATTTGACAAATGCTAATGAACAACTCGGTCAATAATTAATTCAGGCTCGTAGCTCATTACTGGATCCACTATCACTTTTGTCTCCTTGTTGCATCCAAGATGTACTGCTGTAGGACCTATCCCAGACACGCTAGAAATTCATAGCCTTTCTGGCAAGTGCTTGTCTGTCTCTCCCAGTCTATGTTAAGATTAAAATTCCCCATTAGTGCCACTCTACTTTTGCTACATACTTGCCTAATTCAGTACTTAAAATATAGTACTTCTGAGCTGTGGTTCTTTGAGATATTAATCTTGTTGCAACTGTCTTTTTTTGTTTGTGTTAAAATTTAATTAGTTTAAGTCCATTGTTTAATTTGTAGCATGTCTAAACCCAAGGTACTAGCCATAGAGGTAAATCCTGAAAAGAAAAAGCTGTATTGTAAATGTAAATCTCTTCCAGGTTTGCTATTAATCTCTGTGTGAGTAATTCCACTGACATTCCATTACACCTGGCACCTCGGTTCAAAGAAAAGGCTTTCGTTCGAAACTCTTTTCTCTATCAAAGCTGGGGTGAAGAGGAGAGGAAGATAGACTATTTTCCATTTAACCCAGAGGCATATTTTGAGGTACTTTGTATAGTCCATAAATAAATTGGAGATATTTGAGAAGATCTTCGTATGTTACTAACATTATAATTTTTCCATTAGTTGTTCTGAATATTAAGCATAAATTGATTTTATAACATGACATCTTAAAGGTGTAAATAACAACTGTTTACATAGAAGCTTTGTCGGGGGTGGGGGGGGGGAACAGAGAGGAAAGGGACAGTAATCATCTAGTGGTATTATCACTAGACTATTAAATCAAAGACTCTGGTAAAGTTTTGAAAAACTGAACTCAAATCCTACCATGGCAGATGGTGGAATTTCAATTCAATTAACATGTGCAATTAAGAATCTAATGATGACTGTGAAACCATGTTGGTTGTCAGAAAAATCCAACTGCTTCACTAATGAGCTTTACGGAAAGAAACTGGTATCCTTACCTGCGCTGGCCTGTGACTCCAGACCCATTACAAAGTCATTGACTCTGAACTACCCTTTGGATAATTAGGGATGCACAATGAATGCTGCCCAGTTCCCATGAATTCCTTGTCTTTTTAGACAACAGTATTCATATAATTGCTTAAGTTAAACCAACCTAGGTCCATAGTTGTGGCATTGGCCATATCATTTTATATAGTGGCCAAATTGTCTTTGGGTTTTCTCTCAAATGCACTCATTTATGGGAAAACAAATGTTATGAAACACTGAAGATCATGGTTAGTGTGCTGGAAGGCTGTACTTTTGTCTGTGACTGTCATATTACTTCAAAAGTAATAGTGGTGGTGTTAATGTATCTGAGAAAATTTGATGATGTTCCGAGGAGAGGGTTTGTGTCTTAACTTTAAAGAAGGCACTCAGTTGATTTTTATACACCTCAAGACAAAGTTGCTTTGCTTTATAGTAGCTGCAGGAAAGGAACTGAATGGGTTTGCTACTTGGTTAATGTATTTTTGCACTCTGTGTTTTGTGATTGTGTTCCAGGTTATCATTTATTGTAGTTCTGACTGTTTCAAGATTGCTGTGAATGGAGAGCATTTATTGGAGTATAAACACCGGTTTACTGACTTGAGCAAAATTGACATGGTGGGGGCAGACGGAAATATCCAGCTGTTTGAAGTACAGACTTGGTAGGTGGAGAAAAGCTGCTGACCAAAATTAACACTAATGCCAGGATAATAACAGGGTGTGTAACCTATTGAATTCTGTTTCTAATTATAGAGAATACGTTATCAAATCAAGAAGAAAATTTGTTTCTTGGGGATTGTTGCATGATGTTTGAAGATCTGGATTTTGTTTTGGAATTGCTTTGAGTTCACATAAATCTGTGCTAAAGGAATTTAGAGGGTAGCATCAATTCTATAGAACCACATCCAACCCCGCCCACATCACGACTTAAATCATTTTGAAAGCTAAACATTTTAAGTGCATGGATAATTTTGCTTTGAAATTCAAATTACCAACAAACTTGACCAAGTGTCTTTAAATATTTAAAATTTAAATATGTATTTTTAAAGGCTGCAAAGCGTTAATAGTTTGCTAATGTCCTAACTCCTATCCTGTAAGACAGTCAGCCCGTTAATGAAACTAAACACGCTTTCTCTATATTTGCATAGCTTTTGATGCTGAATAATATTGGTTTTCATTTTCGTTGTTAAAAATCCTGAATGCTTTGGCAAGCCCTATAAGTATTTTATCTGACTGACAAGGTGCAAACATGAATAGTCAATTAAAACTGTAGTACTCCATAAATGTTACAGATTTAAGTGTCAGATGTAAAAAGGTACTGTTTTGGTTTTCTCAGGTTGTTTTAACAACCTGTTTCACAACTTACTGTAGAATTCTGTGCACAGTATTAGGAAATCTGATTAATTTGCATTTTTGATCTGGAGGGGTGTTGTGATGGAAAATCCACCCCGTTACTTTAATTACGAGTAACATTATTAGTTTGGGGTTAGACTCCGCAGCAAGAATGTTGTTGTCTGGCTGCTGTTATTGTTGCACATGGATTTCTATGATGTATTCTGTTTCTTTATGAACAATACACTTGGTAACTAAGTGGGAAAACTTCTCATTGCAAACAAAATTGACATTCTAATCCAGTGCCAGGTGTATTGCATTGTCTCTGTTGCTTCTGTATTTTGTGTTTACATATGAAAAACAAATACATGTTAATTTTCCTGGAAGTTTTTTTTTTGGGGCCAGTGTGTTCACTGCAAACATTTGGAAAAGCCCATTTATGCATCTTCTATTTAAATACTGTAAATTAACATATCTGCCTCTGTACTTTACTTATGTACATAACCAATCTATATGAAGACAAAACTCTTCAAGTATAGTGTATTTACTTAATCTGTACTGCATTAAAAATAAAGTTCATATTTTAAACATTCTTTGAAATATCTCGTAATTTAGTGACAATTTCACTTTTTTTCTTTAAATTCTGGATTAAACAGTTGCTGCAAGTAATGCACAACAGCAGTTTCTGATCAATGAATTCAGACTGGCACTTCTGATGTGAACACTATCTGGATTTAATAGACTATTTTCATAGAATACTGCACAGAGGCTATTTAGCATAGTATGGGCTCTTAAAATCCATCCCATTATATTTACTGTCCTTTCCTTTCTCCATAGATTACAGGTACTTATCTAGTTTCATTCTAAAAACTGAATTTGCTTTCATCCCAGTCTTCTGGGAAGGAATGTGCATTCTTAATGATTTGGCTTATGTAAACATCAGAACTACAGTAATGTGGTTGACTCAGGAGTTAGGGATGGGCAACAAACCAGCAACACCCAAATCTCCTGAAAGAATAAAACAAAAACTTGTGTGAACAATAAAGATAGTACTATTCTTGACAGCGATGGACATGAACGTAAGATTACCTTGTATAGCTATAAATAAAACATGGTAATCATATAGATATCAATAATATATAGATATTATTGTATTAGTTTAAAATCCTACTTTAAAAGCCTGAAGACAGCTCCTGTCTTCTCATCAGTCAGTCTGTCATAAACCTAAACGTAGTGTGGCATCAACCCAAATGATAATAGCAACAGCAGCAATTTGTCTCTAATGTAAACATCAGTCACCTCCTTTTCCATAACACAATTTGAATCTTTTCTTTGATCCTCATCCATCACCACTCAATTTTTATGATCAACAGATATCAGCACAGATCACATGAACCCTTTTTTTCACCCTAAATTTGAAGATCAGTTCCAAACTATAAAACGTTGTCATTATAACATCTTTCATCACCATTTAATGCATCCCAGAGCATCAATTGCTGTGTAATTTTAAAAAATCCCATTTTGTTTCTTGTTCACGTTAATTACCTTGGCAGCATGGTAGTTCAGTACTTAGCACTACCATCCCTTAGTGCCAGGGACCCAGGTTTGATTCTAGCCTTGGGTAACTGTCTGTGTGGGTTTCTGGTGGGTGCTCCAGTTTCTTCCCCACAGTCCTAAAACGTGTAGGTTAGGTGGATTGACAATGCTAAATTATGTGTAGTGTCCAAGGATGTGCAGGCTAGGTGGATTAGACATGGTAAATGCAGGTTCACAGGGGTAGGGTAGGGATCTGGGAAGGATGCTTCTTGGCAGGTTGGTGCAGACTGGATGGTTGAACTGTCTTTATCCACACTCTCTATGAATTCTAAGAAATGTGTCATCTGGTTATTTATTCTTTTACCATTGGAAACACTTTTTCCTTATTTAGTTTATTGAAATCATTTGTGATTTCGAATAGCTAATCTCAGATTTCAGCTCTAGTTCCCTCATGTGATTGAAGTGTTTATGACCATAAGATGCAAGAGCAGAAGTTGGCCATTTAGCCCATCATTCAATTAAATCATAGCTGGTCTGAATCCTCACGACCACATTCATGTTTAACTTTGAGATGTTATTCAAAACACACAATGACCCTTGGCCTTTTAAATTAGTTGTTGCAAATTAAATACTGTAAGGTATTTAGAGTATGTAACAAGGATAAAAATCAACACCCGCTTAAGATGCAGACATCAGACTTAGAACTTTAAACAAGGATCAAAAATTTCAAATGTAACAGCAAGTAAAGCCTTTTAGGAAGAGATTGTCTGACTTGCCGTATCCTCTAAGATGTGCATTGCAACTTCATTATGAAATGGCTAGCTTTAATTTGGAAGGACATTCATGAACCATGATTATTTTTTAAATGACAATCTGGTGCTAGACCACAAAATGCTGGATTTATTGAATATAATGTCACTAGTTGCCCAGATAGTAAACTAGCAAAAGCTTCTGATCCTAAGTCTGACTAGGTTATTGCTCCCTCTTGAATGTTAAGGTGATTAAAAGTAAAAACAATCAATACTGTTTTTCAATCTATTTATTAAAATTTGTTGGGTGATATTAATGGAGGCCGCACAACTGGAAAATCTTCAAACAACGAGAAAGAAGTCTAGCAATTTATCACAAATGTTGATATTTCACATACAATATAAAATTCTGTACCTTCAGCATCACCACCTCAACAGAAGTGATTTAAATAGCTATGCAGATCACAAACGTAATACTGTGAACCCTATTGAACATATAAAATATTTATAAATTTATAAACCCTTTGTACATCTTAAATGTTTTCAGAAATAGTTTTGCAGTGGTTCCCCAAGTATAATTTCAAGCTGCTGGATAACCTTCTGACAATGGTGCTCCACTTCTTCACATTCATCTGCAACACAAAGAACACAATCCATAATTCAAAAGTTCTACTGCGATAAAATTAAATCGAAGGTTATGGAGGATAAACATGGGTCATTGAAGTATGCATCCGCTTGATGTTCCAAAATCTTAAATGTCTAAGCACTTGACTTTCCTCTCAAGTTCAATGTCACAGTTTGGTCTTCAGGTCCCAACTATTGAAAATCTATTGTAATGACTTTGGATGCCGGGATAGAAGGTATTATAGCCAAATTTGCAGATAACACTAAAATAAGTAGGAAAGTAAATTGCAATGAAGAAAGAAATTTTCATGACTGATCTGACATCTCTTATGTCCAGTGTCCTGCGTTTTCCCCAGAACACTTGATTCCCCGATCAAGAATCAATCTATCTTAAATACGCACAACTCTCTGTGGCAAGGAGTTCCAAAAACATTCAACCCTGAGAGAAGAAATTCCACCTCATGTCAGTTTTAAATTGGCACCCCTTTATTCTAAGACCTGGACTCTCACATGAAGGAAAACATCCTTTCAACATTTATCCTGTCAAGCTCTTTAAGAATCCTATTTGTTTCAACAAGATCACCTCTCATTTTTCTAAACTCCAGTGAGTACAGTCCCAACCTATTTAGTCTTTGCTCATAAGACAATCCCTCCTATACCAGGGATCACCCTCGTCAATGTTTTCCGAATTGCTGCCAATGAAATAATAATTTTCGTAAATAACAGAATAAAAATTGCTCACGGTATTCCAGATGTGGTCTCACCAACGTTTTGTACAGTTGCAGTAAGACTTCCTTATTGTATACATCAACCCTCTTGAAATAAGAGCCAACATTCCATGAGCCTTCCTGATTACTCATTGCATTTGTGTGCTAACTTTCTTTGTTTCATGCAGAAGCACCTCCATGTCTCCTTGTGTTGCAGCTTTCTGCAGTTTTTCTCCATTCAAAAAAATAGTCGTGTTCTGCCTTCCCCAAAATGAGCAACTTCACATTTTCCCAAATTATATTCCATTTGCCAACTTTTTGCCCATTTAACCTATATCTCTGTAGCCTGTTTGTAACTCTCTCTCAGATTGTCTTTTCACCTATTTTTGTGTCATCAGTACATTTGCCTCCCGTAGTTTCTGTGGATGCAGTTGCATTAGAGATAGTTCAGAAGATGTACACTTAATAAATTCTAGAAATGAAGGGTTTGTCATATGAAGAGAGATTGAGCAAGTTAGGCCTATACTCTCCAGAGTTTAGAAGAATGAGAGAAGGTCTAATTGAGGCGTATAACACGTAGATATAGAGAGGACGTTTCCTCTTGAAGTGAAATTACTTTTCTCAAACGATTGTGAATCTGTGAAATACATTATGTCATAGTGTGGTTGATACTGGGACACTGAGTAAATTTGAGGAGGAGATAGGCAGATTTTTAATTAATTGTGGGTGAAGCGGTTTAGAGAGTGGAAAGCAAAACCTTTGAGGAAGAGAGTGTCTGACTTGCCGTATCCTTTTTTTAACGTTCTTATGCTAAACCTTTCTTTGCCAGCAGTGTCAGAGTTGCATGTAGGATGCCACTAAGATGAGTGAACAAAAAATGAGGAAGTTGAATTATTCTTAGGTGATAGCACAAAAAAGATACAACTGACAGCTCACTTTATTGTCTGCCAGTTTTCCTGTTCTGTGAACTTCAATAGGTAGTATGAAACACTGTTTATTCACTACTGTTCAATTTTGTGCTATTGCTGAAGATTAGTTGCCACTTATCTCTTCTCTTGAAGGGAGAAAAATTAATTATCCCACCATTTTGGCAATATGTGCAGGAGCTGTCAACATTTTTTACTACTTTGGCAAAGATACAACCTGTTTGTCCTTTTCAGTATAGTATGATATATGTAGAATGTTAGAAACGTCAATAATTCCTATACTAAAGCTTTAAACCCACCCTTAACACATACTAAAAGAAAGATTTTAGTCCAATTGAATATCATACCTTCCAGTAGCTCTGCCAAGAAAGGGATGGTTTCTGGCAGTAGCAGCATATAGTTCTCCTTCAGTTTACTAGCCAGTTCCAGCAGCATAATCAGAGCAGAAAATCTCACCTGCAGATTACATCAATTTTATTTTAGCTCATCATGTTGGAAAAAATACATCCACCATAATTTAGACTAATCCAATCCAACATTAATGACCTAGCCCTTTCTTATATGAGGGATTTTTCAAATACTACGACTCTCAGCAATCATTGTGCATTCTGAATCAAAGAGAAAAAAAAACAAAGAAAATTTTCCTTTCTTTTCTGACGATACAAAACTATGAAAGAGTCATAGAGCACGGAAACAGACCCTTCGGACCAACATGTCCATGCTGACCAAGTTTCCCAAAGTAAAACTAGTTCCACTTGCCTGCATTTGCCCCACATCCCTCTAAACCCTTCCTATTCTTGTCCAAACTATTTCAAATTTTGTAACCGTACCTGCATCTACCACTACCTCTGGCAGTTCACTCCGTATACAAACCACCATCTGTGTGATAAAGTTGACTCTCAGGCCCCTTTTAAATTTTCTCCTCTCAACTTAAAAATATGCCCCCTTATTTTGAAATCTCCCTCTCTAGGGAACAGACCTTTGCTATTCACTTTATCTATGCCCTCATGATTTTATAAACCTCTATATTGTCACCCCCTCAAATCTTCT